TCTGTCCTTGGTCTCTGTGGTGGTGTGTATGCTTTACAAGGGTCAGATGTCTAACAGTTCATATGTCTGTTTTCTTAATTTCTTAGTTGTGTTGCAGATACTCTGTTTGGTGCCTYGTCTGTTAAAATAGATGACACAAACAAGTCCATAGCCTTTGTTTTAAAAGCAGGATGTTTTTCACAGGGCTCAGAGAAAATCATAGATGTTGAAGGAGGTCCTGAAGGTTCTAAAACCAGGAAGTGAGTGAAGGACGGGAAAAGTTGTGTATGAAGATGAGTGAAATCTTGTCCTGAGAGCCTGGCTTGAGACTTCTTTTTTTTCTCTCTCTTCTTGCTTGATATTTGCAGTTGGCAATGTTGTGCTTCTCATTTCTCATGCTAACTTAAGATCTGCAAACTAATGATTGTTTCTCCAGGTTCCAGAAGTAGCACATATTAATTTTTCAGTAATTCACATGTATGTGATGGGCCTTGTCAAAGMGTTATTTAAAATGAGATCCTCTGTTTGTAGAACGTAGAGAGATTAGATGATAAGAATTATGCTTTAAAATTTTGTATAAGTGAAAATAGATTTGTTTTTCTGATGATACTTGACAGGTAAAGCATAAACTGAKCTGTAATTATTTTAGTTGGATTTGCAAAAGCCTTTTCTATGAATGAATGCCTCAGCCCCTGTTCCCATCTCTGTCTCTTAATTTTGCGTTCTAGGAGTGAGGATACCTCTATCTGTGTATATGGACTCATATTAGTATGATCCTTTCTAATGCATCGTTAGAAGGACTATTTCTTGTTTCTATTTTAATTTTATTATTTAGATTTGTGAAACTCTGCTTAATTCTGGCTTGGCTTTTACTATTGTATATAATGTTTGCTTGTATAAAACTGGTATAAAGCAAAAGGAGCATGGGATCCTGACTCTTTAATTGGATAGTGTGAAAAATTTCTGATGGACCAGGCATGTTGCTGAAGGACGGAGTGTATGTATTTACTTTCTGACCTATCACATAAAGACTGTCAGAATTTTCCTCTTAATTTGATTTGTAGCATTCCATTAACAGTTATTCTGTGTACCAGGAGAATAATGATTCCCAGACTTTCAGAGTTGTAAAATAAGGACAGGCACTATTTGGCAGAACAGAGACTGTACTTTATTATGGCAGAGGAACTGCTCATAGTAATCAAATCTTATCTAGTCTAAAATGACTTCTAGTTAATGACTTGTTATTCTTGGGTTAGCCAGACTACAGACAGCATGGTCTTCTCATTCTGATGATTATTAATAATCAAAATTTTAAATATATGGTTGTCCCTCTTTCACCAAGAGGATTGATGYGCGTGTTTGACCTTATTTTAAGATAGCCTTTCTTAGCACTGAAATGATGGTGTTAAGTATTAGAAATGAGATGGCAAAAGTTCATTGATTAGCCTTTTGACTTAAGCTTTTGCAAGGGTGGGTGTGCTAGCAGTAAGTTCAAAAAATGTGAATTTAATTGCGAGAGTTTCAGAACTTAATTGTTCAGGACATCATTTTTTTGATGCAAAACTCTGCAGGGCAAAGTTTTTTTCAGGGTATTTTTTTGATGCAAAACTCAGTAACAAGAGTAAAAGAGTTGCATCTATTTCACTTTGAAGAATATATGCTCTGGCTGTGAGATTTTAGGATGTGGTTGCATTTAGAATTGTCTGCTAAAATCCTCATGATTTCTGGTTGGTTAAATACAAGTCAATATGTAAAATGAGGGGGAAGAAATTTAAGCTGGGAGGTTTGTCTTTTGTCCTAACAGAAAAAAAAAAAAATCCGGGATGCCGAAAGCAATTTGGCATTTCAAAGTTTGCTATAAAATGCTAAAATAGACTTAAGCACAGGTTTCCAGCCAGATGTTTCTATTATGCAGGTGAAACCAGCAGTTTGAGGGGAGGATGTCTTGACACTCCACTGTGCTAAGGAGACATCACAGATTTTACAGGTGAACTGTGCTATGGTGCCTAGTGTAAATTAGGATGAAAACTCTCCTTTAACTTACCAAAGGGCTAGCTAGTCAGATTTTCGAGCTGCTTTTAGTTCTGTATACTAGTTGTCAATGTTGGGTCCTGATGCTGCCTTGTGRGAAAGCTAGGCTTTTCTCATTTATGTGTATATGTTTGTATTTGTCTCTCCCACCCCTGCTGTGGTGATCATGTTCTCTGTTGACGTTGTTTCTGTGAGCAATGCTTGCAGGCTACTTCAAGTGTGTTATTTTCTTGTGTAGTAGTTCTTTCCAAAATAACCTTTTGGCAGACTGTCTTCACTGGAAATGAAATGTGGTTTGTGGTCCACTTATCTACATCTATCTAGTAAACATGAGGAAATTATATCTTAAAATCTAGTTCAGTGTTGACATGACAAAGAGAATGATGCAGGACACAAGGAGAGACTTCTGTCTTGAATGCGTCTAATTCTGCATGCACATACCATTACCAAAAGAAATAAGCCAATTGTAAGTCTTTACTTGACATTATGATGCAAGTCCATGTCTAGATATTTATATGTGTAAAATCTTGCTTAAGGTATTAAAAACTTCAAAAAAGTCCAGGTATGTAGATTCTGTTTTCCTCTGACTTGTGATGATGCTTAGGGGTCATTTGCGTGGTCTGCTATAGTGTGAGGTGTTACTTCAGGAATGCTGGGTAGATATTGACATTATTGTGATTTTTGACAAAAAGCAGCAACAGCTGACCAGAGAGATTCCGTCAGTCCTGTAATGATTTTTGCTGGGAAATGCACTTTGTATGTTGTGACCCTCCCCAAAAGGGAGATGTGGAGGCTTGAAGCTGAACATCTTCCACCATAAATGAAGCCCTGGGCAGATATCAGTATTTTTGTTGTGTCATTCACTGGGGCTTTAATCAGTCTTCTAGTTGTGGGTTTAGGCAGACTGTAGCATGAGATGCTGTGATGTCAGAGGTGCAGTCAGTCTCCTGGCAGGTTGCCGTTTGCCTGGGGAGAACGCACCTGCCATGGGGAGACAGTATTTCCTCACTTGCAGCATTAACATGAGCTTAAAGACTTGAGCTAATTGTAGTCTTGAGGCAGACTGTTTGGTTAAGGTATTAGTGAAGTATTTTGTTATTGTTCCTGGAGCATAAGTGACTCCTAAGTAGGAGCAGATCATGGTTTTAGAGGCTCTTAGCCATAATGTATCTGTGTATTTTGTGGGAAGAGAGGATATCAAAAGCTGTGTTTGTTTTGGTCAGGTTTCTCATTTATAGAGAACAATGAGATGCAGTAATCTAATTTAGCTCTGTGTACGTTAGATCACTGCATGCAACTAATGGAGTACATCATATGCTCCGATTTGTGTATGTGGAGGTTTTAGTGGGCTGAACTAATGGCAAAGCAGCTTTAGCTTGCCAGAGGGAAGTAGATGATTTTTGTGAACTCTGAACAGGAGTTGGCTAGTGCTCCCGATATCTGTATTTTTACTGACTGATGAAAGAATGTATTTTTCGTTCTTCACATGTAAGAATTTAGGAGATAATATTTCATCTTGAAGATTTTGTACATATGTGTCCATTTTTTATTAAGGGTCTCTCTACCAYCAGAAGATAGTGGTAATGAGCTATTTCCAATACATTTAATTATATGGTTACTTGTATTTGGTAATTTTAAATTTTATTGTCAAAGAGTCAAAGAATGTGAAATGTGCTAGCAAATTTTTTTGGTCATTATTGGTGCTGTCTGTGCAATATATGTAAACTGCTAAAGCAGACAACCACCACCACCAAAAAAGAAAGACTTCATAAGCTTCTCGTTCAAATCAGACCATGTATTGGGCACTAAAGTGTATGTATTCATATTTTCATATTTGGACATATGAGCTATTTGGGCATAGCCTTTTAGATACTGGACACTGTTACAGTCTTTTCTAAATCACAGTTCCGTGTTAAAAAAAAAAAAATTCTTTTCCCATTATCAGTATATTCATTCATCTGTTAAATTCATTATTTCCAGGAAAATTCATGGAAAAAAGAAATCCCAAGCCATCTGGTGCTAGTAGTGGGCAAAGCATGTGAAGGCATTACTTAGGTTGTAATACTTTTATGTATTCAGGACAATATTTGTGGGTTCTGCTATACAGATCTTGGCCAAAAAGAAACCCAAGGAAATGCATTAGCAGTGAGATCAGTTTGCTTGGGAAGATGCTGAGGGCCACTCAGTGTCAATTAAGAACAATCTGGAGAGGCAGTTTCCTTAAATGCTGCCTGACTCAGCTTGCAAAATGTAGTCCATAACCAAATGGCAGAATTTCACAAGTGGCTACATCAAAAACTTTCTCCMTCAGACACAAATCACTTTCATTTCCCATGTAAATTTTTTTTCCAAAACTGAAATACATGGATCTCTTTTTTTTCTTCATATTTAGGAAAGCATGAGATTCTGCTGTTCTTGTCTCCTCTTCCTGCAAATGAAACCATCTCCTTCTTATTCGTGAGTTGTGGATCATTCTCATTCAAGTATTGCACATTAGTTCTTCTAGCTGTGTGGATGTCTGGGAATGCTTTCTATATTGCTGCTAAAATAAGTTCTCTTCTTGGCTTCTTTTGAGAGCATGCATTGATTTGCTCTGAGCAATGCCCTAATGATGCAAGATGAAGCAAATTAATGGGAGAGGGAGGGAAATAGTCTTTCTTCTCCCCTCCCCCCCCCCAATCAGTTTCAAACTGACAGAAAAGTGAAAAGATGTAATACAGAAGGATCTATTACTTCAGTAACTGGGAATTCAAGGACCTTTCTTTACATGTTCTATGTGATCCTAAAATCATACAAACATACGCTTTCTATTTTGCAGTAGCTTTTGTGACAATARCCTCAAGAATTCCAATCTTACTAAATCTACTTCCTCCAGAGTGCAAGTTACTGCAAAATAGTTTAGAAATAAGGCTAAATAATAACCCTCTAATACATTCAGCAATCCAGAACTTTCAGGAATATGCAGAGCTGTATGTTGCTAAAACCATGAAATGTACTTGCTGACCCCTATTATTGCTAGAGGTTTGTGGTGGCCTGAGGTAAAAGAAGTCCTTTCAGTTGCTTTTAATGAGTTAGCCTCACAGCTTAATGGGAGAATGCCGTGTTACCCTGGATTGAAGAGTCCTGAATTTCCCTAATTTTTCTAAATAACTGTTTCTCTCTAGATTCCAGCCTATGGAGAAGTGCATGTAAGGAATAGGATAAATATGGCCGTTAAGGGTGAGAACCACTTAGATTCCCTTCAGTTACCTGTTCAGCGGTAAGTGTAACTTACAGACTCCCTTGAAGATCAGAATATGATTTAAAAACTCGTTATAAACTTCTTTTTAAGTAATGTTCATACAAACTGTTAAGAATATGGAAGTCTGGGATTTGTTTGTCAAGGCATTTGTAAATTTGTATACTTAGAGCCTGATCAGTCATGATAATGAGAGTGCAATCACCATTTTAAATAGACAAACATGTTTGCAATAGAGATGTGATTGTGTTTACTGGATCAGTGATTCAGCGAGATGAAAATTCCCGGAATTTCTGTTATTCCATGAAGACTGCTGAGAACTATGATGAAAAAATTTCTTTATCCTGATTGCTACACCTGAAAATGTCGATCATGAAGAGGTAGTAGCATGATCTCTCCAGTTGTTGATGCTGGAGAGCCTACTAATTAATAAATTATTAGAATCTGACTGACTGTTCCTTGTTATCCAGATTATCATCTATAGTATAGATTGACCACTGACATAATGTAGCTTTCATGAAGAGAGACAAATAAATAAAATTAGCTTCCACATTCTTGTTGAGCTAGAGTGGTGTGTGACATGACTGTTTGGAGGAACGAAATCAGAAACAAAAGTGATTTAAACTTCATTAAACATCATTTGCATACTCATTTTTTCCTTCAGACCAGATTATGAATTTTTACTGTAACAACACCTTCCTGATGCTCTATTTTAAGCTGTGAAGAGGGTGGTTTTTTTTTTTCCCCTCACAAAAAAACACAACAGGAATTTGGCGTTTTCTCTATCTTCCCTATCTGACTCTTCAAATGCTTTTGGCTTTTATCTGGACTTGACTCTTTTATCTGGACTCTTTTATCTGGAAAAGATATTGCCTTCGGTCTGCCAGGCCTTTGGTAATTGGTGCTGTTCCCTCCATTTTAGCTGAAAATTGCCTTAGTATTTGGTGACTATTGAGCCATGGAATACCGCCTCAGATGTGTGCAGCAATGAAGACAGACTATTGACTTTGCTGTAGAAATGCCTAGGCTAGCCCAAAGACCAGACAAATTGCCAGAATCTCAGGTTAATTGCTCAGTGAAAACTAATGACTTCCAGCAGCTGAGTCTTGGATCAAAAGTCAAAGAACTTAATCAAAGCTAACTGCTGTGCCAAGAGCTCAGCTTGCAAAAAAGGTTAATAAAGTTTGTTATTGTAGTAGAAAACTGATTGCAAACAGTGATGTTAACTAAGGCAATAGGTCCTGTAGATGAAAAGGACTTTTCTGGGTTGCTGATAGCAAGTTTAGGTTGCAAATGCATAAAAGAGGATATTACCTGTAGATTCCATATGCTGATAAGGTAAAAAATACAGCATAGGAGTAATGTACGTGACACTCAAAGGTAGAGTAATACAGACCTGCAAAGCACAGAAGTTGCAGTTGCAAGGGGTTTCTGGGAAAAACAAAAAACTGCTTGCAGGTATAGCCTACTCTGTTTAGGCAAACAGGCTCTGCAATGTTATCCAAAACATTGCTGCAACATAGCATCTTATCACAGGAAGTGATTTATATCAGTCATATAAGAAATTCTGTATCGTGGCAAACTGCTTTGCCCACGCAGGCAATTTTATGGAGTGCCATTAGTTGCTTTGAAGTGAAAAGGTATTGTGGCCGTATGAGGAATTTGGAACTGGGACCATAAGCTGTGCAGGCTGAGTTGTTGTTTACGTTGTTTTGTCTTCTCTCTGGTTTTGTGGGAAATCACAGCTTGTGTAGCAGTAGTCCCTAGAGTATTGAATCAATGTGCTGGTGGCTTTCAAATGTACTGTCATACCTACCATGTCTGACATCTGGACTGTAATAGATACACTATTTAAACACAAAGTATCCTGAGGAAAAACAAAATTATTGTTACAGAAACTTTATTTCCCATTTCACTGAATTAGGGGCCTGAAAACAGTGATAAAACAGGAGGGGGAAAAAAGGGAAATTGATTTTAATCTTCATAGAATCATAGAATGCCGAAGGTTGGAAGGGACATCAGAGGTCATCGAGTCCAACCCCYCTGCTCACGCAGGGTCACCTAGAGCACGTGGCACAGGGCTGCATCCAAGCGGGTTTTAAAGATCTCCAAAGAAGGAGACTCCACAACCTCTYTGGGCAACCTGTTCCAGTGCTTTGTCACCCTCACAGTGAAGAAATGCTTCCTTAAGTTCCTGTGGAACTTCCGATGCTTCAGTTTGAAGCCATTTCCTCTAGTCCTATCACTGTCCACCACTGAAAAGAGGCCGCCCCCTCCTCCTCACTGCCTCCCTTGAGGTATTTRTACACGCTGATCAGGTCCCCCCTCAGCCTCCTCTTCTCCAGGCTGAACAGACCCAGCTCTCTCAGCCTTTGCTCATATGACAGATGTTCCAGGCCTCTGATCATCCTGGTAGCCCAGCGCTGGACTCTCTCCAGCAGCTCCACATCCCTCTTGTACTGGGGAGCCCAGAACTGGACACAGGACTCCAGATGTGGCCTCACCAGGGCTGAGTAGAGGGGGATGATCGCTTCCCTCGACCTGCTGGAGATGCTTTTCTTAACGCACCCCAGGATCCCGTTGGCCTTCTTGGCCACCAGGGCACACTGCTGTCTCATGGTCAACTTGTCGTCCACCATGACGCCCGGGTCCCTCTCTGCGGGACTGCTCTCCAGCAGGTCCACCCCTAATCTGTACTGGTGTCCAGGGTTATTCCTCCCCAAGTGCAGGACCCTGCACTTGCCCCTGTTGAACCTCATGAGGTTTCTCGCCGCCCAGTCCTCCAGTCTGTCGAGGTCCCTCTGGATGGCAGCACAGCCCTCAGGGCTATCAGCTACTCCTCCCAGTTTGGTATCATTAGCAAACTTGCTGAGGGAGCACTCCAGCCCTTCATCCAGGTYGTTAATGAATAAGTTGAACAGGACTGGACCGAGAACTGACCCCTGGGGGACACTGCTAACTACATGTCTCCAACGACTCCGTGCCACTGACTACCCACTCTCTGCGCCCTGCCATCGAGCCAATTCCTAATCCACCTCACCGCCCACTCATCTATTCCACACCTTTGGAGCTTGCCCAGGAGGATGCTGTGAGGGACAGTGTCAAAAGCCTTGCTCAAGTCCAGATCTTCTATCTTTTAAAGAATTCAATTAATCTCCAAAACTTAGGTAAAGCACTTTATATGATCATAAAAAATATTCATTTCAAGCATATGTTGCCATCAGTAATGACAAGTTTACTATAGCATATTAAATGGGCGTATTTTCCTTAGAGATACATATAGTCTCATTCTTTAGTAGAGCTGTTTTAGTGTGACTTCTAAAAAATGACCCTTTTCTTGCATCTTTCTATTTGAATTATTTTTTTTCTTTGTGTTTCCAGGAAATACTTCTAGGTGAGGGGGCTAAGATAAAAAGTCTTTTTCTCTCCCCTCTTTTCCTCCTGCACAACAGAAGTTATCAGCCTTTTGTGATTACTTCAGGCTAAAGCTTGACATAACCAGATTTTTCCTGTTAGTCATGATTTCTTGTACTTTGTACATTGGATAATAAATTAAGCTTAGAGTCAGGAGCACTGAATTTGAAGCCATTCAGCTAAATAAAACAGAAGAAATAGAAGACTGGTTTTGTTTTTCAGATTAAATATTCAGTTTACGATTAAAATTGTGAGACGCTCTTGGAAAACAAAAAGGTAAGGGAATCCTCCCATTACCTCCAGAATCCTCAGATTACCTCCTGATCTTCAGAAATGCAGTGATGCAACACTGSTAGATACAAGGATGTTCAAATTGTGTATTGTTTGTTTAATAGAGATTGTAATTTCAATTTATGTACAGTCAAAGGGCAGTGTTTATTTTTTTTAATGATTTTTTTCTTTCTTCTGTTGAAGCTAAGGCTTTGAGTATTAGTACCTAGAAGATAAACCCATTCGATATCTCTCTCTGTCTTGGTGCTAATACTATTATGTTGTTTGCTGGTGGAAGTTTCCATAGAATCTCAAAGCACCAAGTCGCCAGCATCGAAATTATCTGAGAGTTGAGGTGAAAATATTTATCACTGTTTCAGATGRAGGAGGTGAGGCAGAGAAAGTAGGCAAACCTTTGAAATATAAGTAGTTTCAACCAAGTCCTTTGACTGTAGCATTTCACCTTCCTTGTTTTGATCCCTGAAGTTGGAAAAGTTTGCCATTAGTGACCTCTGTGGTAGAATCAAAAATAGAATCAGACTTTCTTTTCTCCCAGTGTGTTGGAGAAAAGTGTTTGGAGAAAAGGCGTTCCTCCTTTTGTTATTTTCTTCCTTTTTCTTTTAAGATAAAAATCTGAGCCCTGTGAAAGAACAGTATGAGCAAGGTCACTACTGCATGCATATTTACAACTTTGCATTGCTCTTTAAAATGTATTGTGCATCAGCCGTTTCTCTAGTAATTCTATAGAGAATTTGYTTGGGTATCCTGATATATAAATTAAGATCTACATGCTGTCTTTCACAGGGAGATGCAATGGAAACCCTTGTTAACCTATCTTCACAAGTTGCTATATTAATTATGTTTATATATCAGTCAGTATATTATGACCTTCTCTGCCTTGTTAATCCTGACACTATGCATGTGGCATCCTGTTACACTGTTACRGGTTGATAATGTTGAACACTGCCTAACAGCTGCTTTAAATAAATGTGAAAAGTGCTTTTTTTGTTCAAAAGAAAAGACTTGTTCCTTTCATGCAACATGTTTTACCAACRTTTTTACAATGTTGTTGCCTAGCAAGGTAGTTCACTGAACTTTTTTCCAACACTGTCTGTAACAGAGGATGATGAATTATCTCCTGTAACTTGTCATTTTTGAGGTRTTTTTCACCCGGTGTGATTTTAAAAATAACTGTCTTTGCTTAAGGATATTTTAATGGTTGTACTATGGCTTGTCATACTTGCTTCTCAGCTATTTGTTGGAAATACTTATACCATATTGTGTTAAATACAATATTTATCACTTTAGTTCACATTTCCTGGGAATGTCTTCCTTAC